GTTAAACGACGTTTGGTGAAATTGGGCCTAAGGCCCGGTTTCACCAACGTGGTTTAGCTTTAAACTTAGCTTAATTCGTTCTTTGCCTCTTTTCAACTGTTAGGAAGAGATAAACGTGAATTAAACTAAGATTAAAGTTAAACGACGTTTGGTGAAATCGGGCCTAAAATTGTAAATTGCACTTTCGTTAAACTAACGCCAATGTTATTCTATTCTAGAGCGCGCAGAACAGATTGCTAATTAAAAATGGCAAGGTCGTGAACGACGATGGGATAATCGACAGCGATGTCTACATCGAGGATGGCATCATCAGGTATGCAAATGCTACTATTACGCTGCGCATAATATCGATTACACTTTTCGCCTCGTTTGCGAAAGTCACTTTTCGGATTGTTAGAGCATACAGCGGACCCGCCTATTTGTTTCTTAAAGATACCAAGGTGTTGTAACTAGCGGTTTGACTTTACGTGTCACGATATATTCAGCTCACGTACCTAACCGCCACAAACGAAACGCGATATATTCGTCGCCGTCGTAATTTTACTCACTTGGAATGAGGTGGCGACAGACGATACGTTTGCATTCGTTGTGATTTATCAAACAAGCGTGACTGATCGTAGCTGTTAGATAATCAATGGACACTGTCCAGTGTCAACTGATTGTGAGATTGATCTGACCGTCAAACCGCACTTTAGCCGAAAGTCCCTCGAATTGATTGCCTCGGGAAGAATGGGGGAAATTATTTCACAGAAATGCTCGTTTTTGTTTCGCAGGCAAATGGGGCGCAATCTCATTATTCCGGGTGGCACGAGGACTATCGATGCTCGTGGAAGATACGTGATGCCCGGTGGCATAGATCCGCACACGCATTTCGAGTTTGAATTTATGGGTACCAAGTCGGTAGATGACTTTTATCAGGGCACGAAGGCCGCTGTCGCCGGAGGCACCACGATGATCATCGATTTTGTGGTATCGCGAAAAGACGAGAGCCTGGTGGAGGCTTACGAGAGATACAGGGAGTCGGCGGATCAAAAAGTGTGCTGCGATTATGCGCTGCACGTCGCCGTCACTTCTTGGAATCCGAAGGTAAATTTATGTCGCAGTCTCGTGTTTTTTTTTCCTTACATGTAATAGGCGCAGTGTTACAATTCAATCTAGTTTGGAACACCAGTGTCTGCTTTTAATCCGATCCTTTTTTCTAGCTCACCGACTAATAGCTTTCCAGTTATTTTGAGATATGTTGTATATCTGACGAACGTATCGCAATATCCTACTTTTACGACACGACGCGTCAATCAAGCGCTCACGCTGTAAATGCAATGTAATGCTTAGATCGGGTCATTGTGCCATGCGCGCTCTCTAGTCTGCCTTTTTTGCCTAGAACGAGATAATCGCAGCGTTTAACATGAAACCTTCCCAAGAGGGAAAATTCATTTAGGTTTGACCTCTTCTTTGCTCGTTGATTATGTTCAAAATTAAATACGGCACTTTATGGCGTTTACACGTTAATTGTGTTAACTAGACGTCAGCTGGCGTAATGACAATTTACTGTACATAATTCCAGTGCAATGTAAATTACGGTGCACGGAGTACATAACATTAATCCAAGTCTACCTTTTGTAATTTCCGCTCATTGAGACGGTCGTAACTCGATTTATAAAAGTTTCAAACGAATTCATTACATGGTTAACACTATTTAATATTAGTACTAATTCAATTGCGGTGGTCTTTAACTGAGAACGACTCGTCTTCTCATCCAGATTGTAGTGTGCTCTTATCCATACTATATGGAGACGCGGATAGAGTATCTAGTCCCGGTTTCACCAACATTGTTTGACATTAAGCTTAGCGCGATTCGTTCTTTGTCTCTTTTCGACTGTTACTTCAGGAAGAGACAAACATGAATTAAATTAAGACTAAAGTTAAGCGACGTCTGGTGAAACCGGGCCCTTGTTCAATTCAATTCTGTCCCTAGCTTAGTCTTACGCTCGCTGTTCCGATGGAACCGGTGTGATTCGAAACGTAGGAAAATCAACAGACTCGTTCCATAAACTGGCGAGCGTTGCGCGGATCTCGTAACCGGCTTGTAATTACGATTGCCGATCACGCGGCTGGAATACCGAGCGACGGCGGATGAGAAAACCCATTCGCACGTGCTGCCTGAAGGCACGATGGAAGAGAGTGATTTGCCGTCGAGCCACCTTATTTGCCAGCTGCCGGCCGTCGTACAATCGAAAGGAAGCCGCGTTCGCGATTCATTATTCATCGGTATTCATTGCCTCGTCTGTCTGCAGGTCAAAGAGGACATGGCGACGTTGGCGAAGGACCACGGCGTCGGTAGCTTCAAAATGTTTATGGCGTACCGCGACATGTTCATGCTCAGAGATCCAGAGCTGATCGAGACTTTCAAGGCGTGTAAAGAGATCGGCGCCATTGCTATGGTGCATGCGGAGAACGGTGATCTTATCGCGGAGGTATATATACACACACGTAAAATTATGATAACGCTAACGCACATATTTATCTGAGATCAATTCCGCGTTTCACGACAATTCTGATAATCCTTCGACGAGGAGATGCTGAGGTTTCAACACGGTCGGACTCCACGGTCTCTTTATCGAGTTGTCTTTAATTTATTTGTAATTGAATCTCCTCTATTATTAGAGTTTATTATTTTTTAAGAGTTTGGAAATAGACATACGCACTTGATATACATACGTAGAAAAATATATAAATAATACGTTTGTATTTCTCAAAATCAGAAAGTATAAAAGTATTCTTACGTGTAACTTCCAAACTTCTGCTCCTCAAGTATTATAATCGGCGACTAAAGGAACATGAAAAGAAAGCTAAGCCATAAAACCGCTATGTGACTTGAAAGTTACGTTGGATAATGGCGACTCGAGATATCTATGTTGTTTGAAACAGGATTCTAATGCAAAATACAATATACGAGCTCTCTCCTATCGTCATGAACTTGTTTTAGAATGCGAAGAAATTACTGGACGCAGGAGTAACCGGCCCGGAAGGCCACGAGATGTCACGCCCCGAAGAGGTTGAAGCGGAGGCTGTTAATAGAGCGTGTGTTATCGCGAGTCAGGTAAGCGAAACGCTTTGCAATTATGTCGTTGCTAAAACGTTGTTATCCCTTATTGTTGGTCAGTCTCGTATATTCGTGCTTAGTTATCTGTTTCGACGTTACACCTTATTTGGTCCCGAACACGTAAGACTTTTGTATTTCATCATTTTTTCAGTTCTGTTACAAATATACTTGGCACGCTACCCGTAGTGGTATTAGTGGTATTTAGTTCACGAACGATCATAAATTTCAGTAGATTAGAAACCAGGACGCTGCTTTTCGTGGCACATGCCCAATGTCCGAAATTCTCAAGTCGTGCCGAGGTCAAGAAATATGTATGTCACAGGGTAAAATGCGATAACGGCCTAAAAATGCTTAAACATGCCCACGTCAGTCCCCATTGTATTTTTCCCCTCTAAATCCTCGTCTTATTTTTTTTAAATTTCATCTTTTCCTTTTTTAATTTTATATTCCTAAAGCTCGCTTGCTACACAACAAAGAAGACATGTATCGCTTAATTTTTTTACTCCTCCCCCCCCCCTCTCTGTCTCTGTCTCTGTCTCTGTCTCTGATGACTGGAACCGTGTTTAGGTACTGTCGCATTTACCGCCGTACTAGTATCAAAATTCTGCATGCTTAGGTCAATTGTCCGCTGTACGTAGTGCATGTGATGAGCCGTAGTGCCGCCGAGCAAGTGGAAGCCGCGCGTAAACGCGACGTTTGTGTCTTTGGTGAAACTCTGGCGGCAGCAATCGGCACGGATGGTACTCACTGCTACCACAAATGCTGGAGACACGCCGCCGGCCACGTTATAAGTCCGCCACTCAGACCAGACACGGATACGCCACGAGTACTCGTGAATATGTTAGCTAAGTGAGTCGAAGCTAGTGATGAATTCAGAACTGGACTTTATGACTTTGACATCGAAACGGGCTAGAACGTAAACCCATCATCTATATGTAAAGTCGTAGATGCTCATTGTTAATACGCAAGCACAATTTGAGGATTCATCCGTTAGTAAGTCGGATATGTGTATTACAAGCCAAAACTTTTGTAGGTAGAGCCAGTACAAGCTGCTAGTTGTGAGTAGCGATATTTAAACATAGATACGATTGCATTCCTAAATGAAACCCTTGCCAAGTATAGTAGCTTGCCCGTAAGAATGTCGGGGAAACACTTTCGTTAGAGATCGCTGCAACAGTCACGTATCGACGTACTTTCTACTTCCGAAAAGAGGAATAACGCACGACTGGTCTTTCCCTAAATAAGTAAGTTGAATTGAAGGAAAAGGATTGGATTTGTAGAGAGTACTGAAAAATCTCGGATAGAAAAACTCGATGCTTCATGGCGACTTTACCGTTAATTAGCTCTATTCGACCGAACGGCGTTTCTCAAGTAACGTTGCAGTATGTACGCAGGTATATGTATATTTCCAAAGTATCGATTCTACCGAGTCTTGGGTGCGCACCATCGATTTTACGTCCTCCACACACTTTCTGTCCCCCTGATTAGCGGAAATAGGTTGCAATTGCAGCAACAGTAATTCAAGTTTTTATGTTATCCAGCTAGACGCTTGCGTGACATACGCGCAAATGGTACAATTACGCCGTCTTTTATTTGTCCGTTCGTATACTGAAATTTATATTTAATAGTTCCGTCGAAATCCCACTCGCATGCGTATTGAGAGTAGCTGTCGTTATTTTAGTTCTCTCTTTGTTCTCTTTATTTATTTGTCCGTTACGTGCACTAACTCCTCTGACAATTATTGTTTATTAGACTTTTTATTGTGCTTGTACATTGTACATGTAAAAATTGTATTTAAAGGTTGAAAAAATGTATGTTCTTTTGATTTGTAAATTTTATATTCTTAGTATCGAGTACTTGGTATAACATGCTTACGTTTGGAAAAACGTCGGCATACTTTTACACATGTTACATTTTACATAAGTAATTGCTTTAGCATAAATATTCAAGAAAATCCAGCTTTGTACGTGGAATAAAAAGTAACAGGGGTAACTTTAGTTTTGGAGCAGTTTGGAATTTTTTATTCTAGCGTAAACTTTGTTTCAATCGCAATTTGCTTTGTCTATTTTCGTACATAGATTAGTAGAGAGAACATAGCAGTTATTTCACAATGAGAGGATAAAAATATCACCCTTAGGCGAATAGTCCGTTGTACATAACGGCGATTTCGAGCAAGTCGGCTGCCGATGTCGTGTCGGCGAAGCGGTCGGACGGTATCATCGTTTTTGGGGAAACCCTGGCGAGCACCATCGGTATCGATGGTAGCGAGCAGTACAGCAAAGACGTGGAGAAAGCAAGACGTTTTATTACTAACCCTCCGTTGCGGCCTGACCCAACGACACCTGCCTATCTAACCGAACACCTGGCCCAGTAAGTAGAGTCCCCGATGTCTTTATAATGACTGGGTTCCCCTTTTCCATATCATTTAATTTCCACATCATTTATTCTACATTATTTATACGAAAGCCATGGAAACATTTTTGTTGAGAGATATTTATTTCCAATTGAACGAAAAGATTGGAAGTTGTAAAGTGTATCACTTTTCTTTCTATTTATACCTCGGTGTGTTGAATTATTCGTTTCTTCAAAGAATTCTCTTTCTTTCCGATTTAAGAACTGCGTTGCGTTATTTCAAACGTTCAAACGTTCGTGGTCCGCGACGTATTATAATAACAAAATTACGAGGATGACACGAGCGAAACTCTTGGTCCGGATATTAATAGCTACGACGTAGGAAGTTGCTTGCATGGTGCAGCGCATTAATGTTGATTAAATAAACGGAGGAAAAACTGCTGGTTTAACGACTACCGTTAAACTACTGTTCCTCAATTTTTTATTTGACCTTTGCTCATTTGTTAATTTCATTAAATTTTGTATTATTAATTTCGATTACGTTTGTCTATTCGATGTCAAGGTAATCACTTAACGTTTGGTTTTCTTCCCGGGAGTTTCTTCAGACACGCTAACACGATCATTTTTTAGAGATAATCTTCAAGTTACCGGTAGCGACAATTGCACGTTCAACACCGATCAAAAGGCCCTGGGCAAAGACGATTTTACAAAGATTCCCAATGGCGTGAACGGTGTGGAGGACAGAATGGCGGTGCTCTGGGAAAAGGGTGTACACGCTGGCATAATGGACCCCATGCGATTTGTTGCGGTCACCAGCACGAACGCCGCGAAAATCTTCAACCTGTATCCTCGAAAGGGTGTTATAGCTGTCGGCTCGGACGCTGACATTGTCGTCTGGGATCCCAACAGGAAACGCACCATTTCCGCCGAGACCCATGTCCAGGCCGTTGACTTCAACATCTTCGAGGCAAGTTTGATTGAGTCTTCCGCTTTCAACGAGAAACGATAGTTGTGGTATTGCGTGCATTGCGTATGGCATTGCGTGCATTATATTTAGACAAATGTAAATGCATTTTATTGATTACAAGGCGTTTTTAAAGGAACGTGCCCAAACCAATTATAACACCTCTCTCTATTTCCACTTCGATATGTGGCGATCGCACGAAAACCAACAATGTTTTGTTTGGTTTTGAACCCGAGTCTTCGGATTACCAGACCAGCGCAAACTCTGCGCCACGATCGCCACATATTTAGACGAATATTTTCGTCGCAAAATGTAACTGAGATGTATTTTATTACACATTCTCGGCTCTCAGCGCATCGTATAATTTTTTCGAAAGAAAGAATTATATGATGAAGTATACATTGCATTACAGCAATAAAAATATCTCACGCAATTTAATTATTTATCAAATTAATAATCGAGTATTCCATTATGAATACAGGGTATGGAAGTGACTGGCGTACCTGAATACGTGATTGTCAGTGGACGTGTATGCGTGGACGAATGTGAACTCAAAGCTGTTCATGGTTTCGGAAAATACGTAAACACGGATCCATTCTGCGCCTACGTGTACGACATGATAAATGACAAGGAAAAGGTATAACATACCAATCCTTTCTTTCCTTTCACTTCGCTTTCTGCAAAGTGAATTATTTTTTTGACAGATGTGTTACTTTTACATGCTAATGTTACAGCAACTGCATATCTTTTGATTTAAATTTGAAATCATTTAAGCTCGAGTTAAAATAAAATAAGATATTGATTAAAATTGTGTTATTGGAAATTGACATTGTATCGCAACTGCGTAGAAACCACGTGGGGTCGCACGAACCGAAGCGGAAGTGAAGAAATTTGCCGAGGAAGATGCTGCAATTGCAAGGGCTAGGGAACAAGCGAGAGCTGCGGCTGCGGCTGCTGCTGCGGCACGAGCCAATCAAAACGGTTCGCTCGGTAGTCCAAAGATAAAATTGCAACCTAGCACTTATGCACCTACTTTACCGGAATCAGCCGTGGTGACACCATCCACGAAAGGCCCAAGACTCGAAGGACAGAGGAACCTACAAGATACTACTTTCTCTATCAGCGGTGAGTCTTATTATCAATTACTTTTTGAGTCTTCAGATACACGTGGCATATATTTTCTGGTGGTCTCATACTAATAAAGAATACTACTAGGATAAATTGTCCGAGCTTGAATATCGGAAGCCAATCGTGGGAAATACATAAAATTTCATTTGTTTCGTCCTTCATATTGTAGGAATATAAGCGCGTTTTTCTTACAGAGGATGTCGAAGAAGCACGAAGAGCATGCATTCGCGTAAATAATCCACCGGGCGGGCGCAGTGCGGGAGGCTTTTGGTAATTTTTACAAAAGAGAGAGCATCAAGCTTTATGTATAAGGATCACTTAATGCGAGAACTGAATGGGATTTTACTTTTCTTTTCTTCCCTCCTTTGTCATCTCCCTTCATCCTTTTCATTCATAATACACGTACACACCCTTCTTCGTTTCGAGGAGTATCAACCCGCTTGCAGGTTTGCTACTCATCAAATATTACACTAAGTCGTTTTCACATTGTATTCCTGTATCGATCAAGGTCTGTTCCATCGAAGGAGGATATGGAAGCCACTGGCCAATAAGTTGTACGTTCATATATTCATATTCGTCATTCAATTTTCGCTTCATTATCGCTTTATTGCTGCACTGTATCATGTGGCGTGCTTGAATCATCTTGGTCTATTTCCTGATTTCCACATTTATAATTTTTTTTCATCTCTTATGACGTTATGTTAAGATTTTCTTTAAGATAACTTCCGTTATTTTTACTTCAAGATTTATTTATTGTTGCACATATAAAACTGTACGTACTAAATATACATAATTTGTGTTATATCATAAATCACAAGATATGTATTTAACATCCGAGTGAAATATATTGGACGAAAAATTTTTTAAACAAAGATTTTTATAGTATATAAAAAGTTGACGATATTTTACGATTCTATACATACATATTGTATTTTATACAATTTATTTCTGTGCGATAAGCAATTATTCTAATTATTACGAAAAAAAAGAACTGAAAATTCTAAATTTGGAAAAACCATTTGTTATATATTATGAACTTTGATATAGGAAAAATAAATAATTCATTTTTTTTCTTATATTATGATTTGTTTAATTTCAAAGCAAAACTTATAACCGAAATGAGAGAGATATCTTGTGAACAAAATCAGATGTGATATTAGTCACAATTATCACATTATTAGTAAGACAATTGTTTATTTATTGTCCATGATGATAAGGGGAATTTGTATTAGAAAACAGGTGCGGCTCAAAAAAAAAAACATAGACGGTAGTATTTTAAGTTACGACACTTATATTGAGCCATCGATAAAAAGTTATGTTTATTTATGATGTGAAATGTTACATAAATATTTATATATATATGAATTAGTTGCACTTCGCGGTATAATTATATGTATGCTTGTATTTAATAGAAAAGCCATTAAAATTCTATTTAAAATTTAATTTGATTGTTAGCAGCAATTAATATGTCTGTTGCGTATATACGAAATATTGCTAACAAAAGTCAAGACTAAAGACTTTCTATCAATGCAATTCATACTACCATTAAATGCTATAAATTGAGCATGACATATTTTGCGTACTGGATTTAAGAAACATACATATTTATTTTCGCACAAAGCATAAATGTGAATTTACTTTCCATTACGAAATATTTCAGTAAACGCTGAAATATATTTAATTAGATCGTTAAATGTATATATATATATATATATATATAAAAGTGCAGTTTTAGTTGAAGTTAATTTGAAAATAGTCTCACTGTTATATATAACTATATATAACTAGTATGTCGCAGAAGTTTATACATATGTGTTTATCGGAAGTTTTCTAAAAATGTTGAGGTTGAACAATGTTGCATTCTAAGTCGATTGCGATTAATATTCATCATTCGTTATCTATTATAATCGACATAAGTGTGCTATAAGTGTGTAAGCCGAAGGAATCTTGTCACTCGTATTAATCATCTTTTTACGATCATGTTTTCGATAAATTTGTACTTGTTGTAAGGTCCTAGAGGTAATATACCAAAGGAAAGTAAGTTTAGGTCGAATAATGATTTATACTTTGATAAATAATGAAGATATCAATTATCAGTGAATTAAAAATTTTCCGTTTATCGTATAGATGTGTGTAAATCCTATCGGCAGAAGCTTACGGCTATGCTAATACTGATTCTCACTGCGCTTTCACTGCATTCGCGTGAGCGCACGATGTGAAAAACGACGCACAAATTTTCGTTCACCCATATCATCACTGTAAGATTGTTACGATAAGAGCAAAATAGGAAATCATGTTGTGTAAGTCCACTCGCTAATTGTAAGGATTTATTTCTTAATTTAGGAGACACTCGTTCACAAAATCATTTGTTCTCATAATATACACATGTCGTTATTAATCATTTCACGTAATCCAAGTTATCCAACACATTCCGATTTGTAGAAACCTATCAGTTTTTATACCTAAAATATTCAACACTTCTCTACCAACTTAGCTCTTTCTGATGCTTTAGCTACAATATTAACGTTTCGAATAATCGAAAATACCTTATTATTACTGAAGTTTCTTTGATATAATAATGATAAGGAATGACAAACATAATAAATTGTAATCACATAATCGTCATTACATAACAAGTATTAATGGTATAATCATTCATGTGTAAAAGAAACCGTTCTAGTCTGACGACTAGAGTTTATGCAAGTCAAAGTATGAAAGACCAAAGCAACGTTAGAAATCAAAAATTTTCTAATAGATTTTCTATGGAAATTCTGCAGACATTTCTAGGCATCTCTAATACTAATGATAATCCAGATGTGACGTACGTTTAGTTAAAAGAGTAATATATTATATTTATGCAATTTATGTAACCTCTCTAAAAATTGCATCGACACAAAGTGCTTTTATGTAAAATTTTGTGTTTCTCAATCAATTCGGAATCGTTTCGAGAGATAAATTGAACATCTTGGCAGAAATTTACACTTTTTTTTCAATCTATTTAATAACAGCTTTATTTAAAGTATTGCGAGCACAGTGAAGATAACGAATTGTAAGACAATTATTGATTCATAAAGTATTTTATAGTATAGCACAGAAATATTTTAAATTTTAACGCGTTGTTATCGATTAAACTTCTCTGAGAGTTATTATACTTTGCATGTAACACTGTTGATATTTTATACCAGTGTCGAAGATTTTTATGTTATCACTGTTGGATACCCACAGTGACATTTATTTATTTATTTAAATGGCATATATAAGAGTGCTTTTAAAGGCAAATAGCATATTATAATTATCAATGTGTTCACGTTATGTGACCTCGTGTCGAGTACTCGGAAAGAATGTATAGTTTATCACACATAAATGACACATCTAGAGTATCCTATTTATGTCTGTTATGATGTATGTGATCGCTTTAAATAAATATAACATAAGTAACACAATCCATGATTTTCCTTGACGACTGATTTTTGACAGATGACATAGATCTAACAAATACATATATTTACCGTAACGTAAAAAAATAGAACACAGGTATGTAAAAGATATACATTTGGCTGACTGTTGCTATCCTTTTCATTAATTAACGATTTAAATCACAATTTATTTTGAAGATAAATCGATAACTTATATACTTATCGTCGTACATACTGTGATTACATACTTTTTCTCATTGCTATCTTCTAATATCATTATCGCAATCAATAGTGCGTTCCCCTGCGATGTATGTATTTAATTTAATTAACATACAAATTTAACGAAAAAGGACTTGATGTTGCTCTCGAGTACTAAACGGTGTATATTCAATTGAGTTCTCGAGTCAAACAACGCACTGGGAAACAATTATTTATATTTCTATTCCTTTCAATGAGTAAGTTTATTAAAATATAATGGTTAATATTGCTCACAAAAAAGAACATCACAGCTCATTAATTTTTTTGTATAGCGTATGCTTGACCAGCTTGCTAAAAATTTGATGCGAGATATGGCTTTAACTCTCGTAATAAATAATTATCGCAATACGTAAGATAAAATAAAATAATTCGAGAATATTTTTTCGATAGCGTTGTACATTCTGATATTTTTCTATGGAATGTTACGAAATGATTATTGTATTTTATCTTCCATTTCTCTAAATTCCTTATTCTCGCATAACAACAAAACGATTGCACATGTCGTTTTGATATTTGTAGCATTCCGGAATATAAGGAACAGTACGATTCACTCTCTGGCTTCATCCTTATCGGGTTTTTCCGCTCTTTGACGCGCTTTTTCTAAAATTTGCTTGAGCTCTGATGACCGTGCGGTTTTATACTGAAAAGGATTCGAAAAATATTGAAACTTTACAAGGTTTTTTTCATTAAAATAATCTATACGTACCTCGCATACGTTTTTCGCTAAAGTTAATTGCCCGTTGAGTCTACTTCCCTCAGACAGGCCGCACAATTGCTCTAGTCGCCGTCGCGATAAATTGAACAATTCCGTGCCGTTCATATTTTCAAACTGTTTGCACACACTACAAGTAAAATATAATATTTAGACATATATATTGGTGAGTAAATCAGTTGCATTACTCAAATCAGAATTATACGTATTCAATGTACTTTTGCGAGAATCCTTTGGCTGCTAACCACATTTGAACTTCCCGAGGGGTCGAGTGTTGATTCAACCAAATTTCCTGCGCGCTGTTATCGACAGAATTCGCTTTCTTTTCTCGAAATATCCTCAGAACGAACTTGAGCTCTTTTTGAACTTCTTCCTGAGCTTCTTCTTGACTGGAGGTGCCTATTGGAAGCGAGAATGTGTCACAGATACATTCAATATAATGATAATTGCCAAGTATACAAATTTTCATTTAATTACATTTAAATGGTCCATCTGAATTACAAATCGACTTTTAACATTAATATCTGAAGCTAGTACTCACCATTGAGGAATTTACTACTCTTGGAGGTTTCCGTTTTGTTAAACATGAAATTTGACGGCACAGATTTTTGGGTTCGAAGTACTGGAATAGGTCCTATTGGCGTCGGTGGCGGTGGTGGTGGAGGTGGTGGAGGCGTCGTCGATGAATCTAATGACGGTACGGGCGACGCTGGTTCTGATTTCGGGGGCGATGAAGCTGGTGCTGATTTTAATGGATATATTATTGGGATTTCAACTGATTTCAATACAGACAGCGATGGTGCTGATTTCGATATGGGTAATTTTGCTGATTCCGATGCAGGCAGTATTGGCGTTGACACCGATGCGGCTAGCTCTGGTAGTAGGGTCGGAACGGGCGGCGAATCTGGCTCGGATATTACATCTGGTATTATGTCGCGAGGTGGCGAATGCACTTCCACGATGCTTTGTTGCGTATTAAGCTTTCCGCTTGACCGAGAAATACTCTCGGTAGAAGAAGTGCTAGATCTACTGCTATTACTGATGGTTCTGTCGTACAAACTAACGTCGTCTGTAAAAGAATCTTGTATAAGTTAATTTGTATGAAATTGTCCTCGAGATAAGACATGATAAATTAATTGCCCGAGTATTTTGATTCGTTTACAGATGGATCATAATGCATGCCAGTATGGACGAGCTTAATATACGTGGAAAGGCCATAACTTACCCCAAAGCTTTTACACAAACTACACAGTTTGATATTGGACGAACACTAAGCATATATAATTTAAGCGTCATATATAATATATTATCTTAAAGAATGTACGATATAAAATTTAACTTTTACTAATATCGAAATAAAGCACCGGTCGTCATATATGCATGTTACACAAGTTGTGCCTTTTGATCACCACACTTTGTAGAAACTATTAACAAAACGATATTACAATTACATCTAATTGTCGTTACGATTCGCAGGAGACAAGAGAAATGACATGGACAACGACGATTCCTCGCACAAATAGAATGTTTATTAATAATAAGTGATGTACACATAAGAAAATTACAGTATAATGAAATATACTGACGGATCGCATTCCCGGCCCGTGGACACACACATAAATGTCAAACTAATACTTGGATCGATCGCGAAATAAAGATAGGAGATAGCGCGTAGTCACTTACTTTTTGCTTTTATATATAAATACATTTGTAATTGTAAATCCTTATGAAAAGTATACGTCGCGTATTCGAAATTGCCGTATTGTAAAGAACGTCTTATCAATACGATTACGATATAACATCACAATCTAACAATAAATAAAGGAATATGAAGAGAATGTATCTGTAACAGAGAAAGAATAACAATAGCTTGTACTGCTTGTACTCCACATCTTTTATATTGTTCATTGACTTCTTGATCGACTAGTTATTATCTCGTTTAGGTCAACACTTTGATATATGCATGTAAGTTTAAATATATGAATAAATAATGCAAATCACCAAAAATAATGACAGCATCAATTCGATTGCACGTTTTATACTTGTACCTTTTCTATCTTTCTGCGACAGTAAAGATTTACATTTGGAAATAGATGGAGAGTTTAGATTTCGTGTTACAGCGAAATTGATGCAAATTATACAAGAGACCAGTTACAAGAGTTCTGGCTCGCCAATGTCTCGTATTTTTATACCTCTCATATTTTTAAACTGTACGAAAATATATCGTGTACACTTTTTTTCTCTCAGAGTTTTTACAGTTCTCTTTATCCTCGTATTCCCTTCGGTCGTTTGTACAAGCTTTATTTACATTGATACATACAAAATGCATGCGACAATGACACGTACAAGCAAGATCGGCAAAAAGACTTGCTATGTCAATAAGAGCTATTGATAAGACGAAGAGATGAACGTATCGTCGGATCCTTTCCTATGCTCGTTTTCCCCCAAACGATTCTTATCAAGAGCTTTTATCGAAGTCGTAAAAATTTTTTCACAATAAAGCCCCAGTAAGGACAAAGGACAAACACAGTTATAATTTTTTTTTCAACGGAAACATACGTCTAAGGTAAATATTATATCGGCCCAACTAGTTTTACCGTTTACATATAGATATGATACTTATATCGTTACATATTCTGCATAATTTGCATTGCTTTATTAGTATAAGTACTTTTTAATGGAAGAAAATGTCCGATCCTAGCGGGTTTAACGATATATCGTAACACTTTTACTTATAAAGTAATATGTATATGGGATTCTTCTCTTTGTCGTTACAAACTACATAGCTAAATTTGGTTAGTCGATAAATACAGAAGATAATATATATTATGTGACGATATGATCGATTACCAGAAATATAGCTTTAGAAACTAGTTGGTAACTCTCAACCACGTTAAATGCTGGATGATTGTCGTTATATTTTCATATCTTCAATTAAGCGCGGTGCGAGATTCGTCATTCAATTTAATGCTTTTATATGTGGTTGATAGTCACTGCTACTCGATACCTAATAGATCTCATTATTAAACGACTTATTAATTAATTTCACACTAAACGTGGTCCCAACATTTCAACTTTTATACAGGGTGTCTGACTATATGTCATATTGCATTGGGAAGCAATTCCCCTCGATATCTCTGCTATATCGCCATTGCACTTTTATTTCTGGTTATCATTAATCAGAATATCTATATTTGTGATAACGATATGTCTGCGATAATGATAAAGAAAAATCAACAAAATAATCCATCTATGGGTTCGAGAGTATAAATTATATTATAACTTGACGTATTTAGAATTCTTCTTCGTACTTGTCAACTCTTTCAACAATGATCGAACGGATTGCTGCAACGTTGTAGGTCATGCGAGACAGTGATAGACAATGGCCTTGTAATGCAAGGATACGAGAGCAATATACTCATATAAAAAAAGCAGAATTTACCGGTGTGCTACTCTATAAACGATACATGTATGTAATTGCTATGCGAACAACTTGGAATACCACGCCCCCGTTGCAATCGTATGAATGGCTCACACAGTCTACACTCACGTATGTACATGTTTAAAAGGAAATCGTCAGGTATTACAATATTCTGTCACGAGGGTGCTAATTGAAATGCTAATTGGACGATGATCTAACGGTTAATTATGCTACAGTTCGTTTACAGTCTAATGTGATGCGTTTCTCTTATCTCTTATGTATATTAGCTTTATTGGATTTAATAATGTATCGACTTTAATGTCACAATCATGTTACTCAAGACAGCATCTTTCGATTTTGGAAGACATTCGTTGTTGCTAAAAAACAATCTTATTTATACATATAAGAGGCGATAAAGGCTGAGACTCGATATTTTTCCTAATTCTCAGGAATTGCTCAAATTTAGATGAAAATAGGAGACATACAATCGCGAGTGGGACAAATGACTCAAAAATATCGAAATTCACCTTTTTTCCCTAATCTTTCCTTTCTCACCCAATCAGCAGGAGCTGGCGGTGGAATCGCGTGCGTTCGATGCGTGGTTTCCGGACCTGGACTAGTGCTGGTTCTTTCAATCTCCGAATCCTGTGACACACAATCAATTCTATTACAAATTTATAATTTGTAATTATATTTTGTGTAACGATCCGCATAACTCTTAATTACATTTACTTTAAAGAGTGAATCTTAAGTTGTGTCTCTTATAATGTGTTCTGTTGAAACACACTGCAGCGCGCGTTCCAATGTAAACTTGTATAATTCATATCGTTGTCTATATAACTATACGCGCGGTATATTGCTACGTAACAATCCAGCATAATTATATTCCTTTTGCATGCAACTATCTACAAACGTGCATATTTTCGCATCCGGCGTACTGGACTGGCGTCCACAATTATTCGTCGACAAATTGCCCAAAGGTGTGTTCACCTCTTAATGACTCTCACCTCATAATTATAGCCGTGCCCTTGCCTCGGATACCTGCTGGTGTATAGAGGATTGTTAAAGACGTCATTGTCAGCAGAATGAGTAGCGGAATGATTGTGCGGCGCAACGATGGTGTGCGGAACGTGAGCGACCTGCCCTCGGGAATTCCTCGCTTTCCACCATTTCCTACTATCGTCGAGAACCTCCAGATATTCGCCTCTGACCACCGTGAGTTCTTTGTCGTTGTTCGCCGTTCGTGGATAAGTGACTTGCACGATTTTGGCGTGGCGCGCTACCAATTCATCCAGCCAGGCCTCCTGTGCTCTCTCTATACCGGCGGCTGCTCTGGGAGCTCTCTCGATCGAGTCGACGGAAATGTCACTGTGCGCCCTGGTCTGGTCCACTCTCTCCTCGCGGCCGTACAATTCCGAGCTCGGTCCATAATTCCTGTCAAAGTATTCGTTACCGCCACGCTCCTCCCGGCTCTCGTACTCGAGATAATCGCTGCTGTAATGCGACTCGTCCACGTCACGGTGATTGTAATAAGGATCACTTTGTTGTTCTGGTAACTCGTCCCTCTTTTGTTTATCCGCGTTCAATAGGGACGCCAAATGATCGTGATCTCTGTCCTCGGGAATGGGGTACTCTGGCGACCAACCGTCCATGAAAATCGGGTGGTACGGCGGCACGTGTCCTTTCCATTGATCGCGCGGTATCAGCCACGTGTCGCCCAGGGAGTGCCAGAGCTCGGTCTCTTTGCTGGTGACGCAGTTTATCAACAAATTGACCGCTTCCCGCGTGAGGAGCGGCGACACTACTTTACTAGGTAAATTCGGATCGTAATTAGTATCGTGAGAGGCGTCCACGATAAGCGCGAGCGGCGTGAAGAGGAAGTGTACAAGTTCCGGAGCGTTGGGATCGTGGATATGCGCTTTCAGCTTGGCCAGTAGGTTGAACGAGAGCTTGAACTTTTGGAATATATCGATAAACTCCATCTCGGGCGGCGGCTTCGCTCTCATCGTCAGCATACCATCGCCAAGGTTTCGCTTCTTTGACTTCCGATTGCGTCTTCGGCGCTCTAGCTCTCGAGACGCGGCAGCAGCGTGCTGCAGACGCGCGATGAACTTCTCGATGTCGTCGAAACAGTGATTCAGGATCGTTACATCGCGCTCGTACTTCTCCGACGACGTCGACGACACCTCGTCGTTGTTCTCCTCTCGAGACATGTCATTCTGCCCGTCTGCTATGTTAAGTTCACACACAGTGATATTCAATATTATATTGTAATTATCTATTAGAGCAGTGCTTGGAATTATTTGCACTTCTGGCCGGATTTTTGAAACAAACGCCTACTTTTGTCCCCTTGCCGCGCGCACTCCAGCGACGGTCAGTTTACTTCTCAGAACATGATCAGCAAAGAGGTGGCACTATCAAAAATTCCGAGAATTGGATTTCCGAGAATTTCCAAATCGCGAAAATCGAGAATCGAGAAAACTGGCAAAGTATCAAGAGAACATGATCAGCAAAGAGGTGGCAATATCAAAAATTCCAAGAATTGGATTTCCGAGAATT